CTGAACACATTGACATCATGGTATTTACTATTGAACGTGTTGTTTCTTTTATTTGCATGTTTTCGATATTGTTCGTTTTGATGGTCTACGTCACTATAAACCAAATTTATATATTCATAAGGAAAGGCTTATACAAAAGAAAGATCCGAAACTTGAGAGACGTTTTAAAAGCGTCGAACCTACCAGTCATTATGAATGTCACCGTCATTCTTGCAGGATTGTTTGGTATAGCAGCGATCATGTGCGGTATCGTACATGGAATTGTTATGTTAGAATACCTGCACTGCATATTTAACAACACGGAAATAACATATGAGAGATCTAATCGTACATTCAAACAAATCAAATCCAACCTATATGATAGCGTGTTCGTTTTATACATTTGCTTTACAACATCTATCTACATGGTATTGTGGTTTCGTCAAACAATGTTCAGCACGGAGAGAACTTTGAAGGAACTGTCGCCCGAATGTTTAAAAAAATTTAGTTATTTTCAGGGATTGTTCATAATAATTTCTGCTATTGTCGTCGGAATAATTTCGATATTACATGCGCTATATTTAGACTACATTCTGATATTGTCAGTGGGGATTCAACTTGAAATACAAATTGGATTGCTGACTCTTTTTCTGATTCCTTTAATTAAGCACCAACGTAGCGTGAAGTATTTGCATCAGAATAAAAGACCTCCTGATCATCTTGTAAGATTAATAAAGCGATCGATCGCAGCAGCCATTGTTGCGATCATAACAGACATGGTAACATTAGGAATTGCAATTTGTTATAAAATGTATTTTTTGCCTGAGAATATTTTTATCAATATGTGTTGTATTTTATTCTGTTTTGCCGATTGGAAAACAAAATTCTTTCCTTGTATTGTTTTATGTAAACGGGATAGCGAGGCAGCTGAACCAATTCCTCCAAATGATGACATACGTGAAGAAACAGTGTAAATCATAATATCCCCCCTGTTTGTGTTTTGTTTTCTTGGGGGACATTAATCGGGAACATTTTCTATTAATTTTACTTGAAGTTACTTTTTCAAGTTTCAAGTTTTTCAGTTCTTCTTGCTGTAATTATTGAACTATTTTGAGACCAAATAAAACATTTTGCAAACAAAGTTGTGAGTAGGATCGGGGTTTACGGGTCGGTTTCGTCCAGGGTTCAGTTTGAAATCGACAAGCGAACAACTTGGTTATAACACCATAATAAGCATAATAATGTAGAAGAGATACTTATACGATGTCTGAGATGTCAATGTCAAAGTAAAGTTATTTGTCCAACCATGTTGCAAATCCCATTTAAAATTATGAGAAATAAGAATGTATACACGCGGTTTTAATAGAGATGGAAGCCTTACAAACAAGCTGTAATCGGATAACGATGAGAAACTAAGCATTATGATCTAATCAAAGGCTGTCTCAGAAATGTCGCATTCATCTAAGTTAGATCCGGATTTAGACGGTGAGTGACCTACACTACGCTGTTTGCGAAGCCCGTTTTATTAAAAAAAAAAATGTATTAGCTATAAGTAGGAGGAGATCGGATGAAATTTGCTCAAAAACGCAAAACTGCTGCCAAGTCGGAAAAATTCACAATCGACTCCGACTTGAGGATGACACATAAATTGACTTCATTTCTGGGTCTGAAAAGTCTGAAAACTTGTTTTTAAAAATATAGGCCAACCAGAGAGAAATAAATTTATTGGCAGCTGTTGTAAGTCAGCATGTTTTAGCTAATGTGTAATGCGTTAATTTAAAGAACATCAATTTCCAACTGGAAGCAACATCTATAGAAAATTCCAATATGAAACTTTTAATTCCTAAAGCAATATAAGTCTGGGCATGAAGTGAATTTTCTATTATTAATTAACATAATCACTGCGTATTGATTCATTTTGAGTTGGAATATTGAATATTGAACAACCACACGATGGAGCTCGGGTGCGGTTCTGCGCATTGCTTGGATACCACCAGAAGCAATGTTACGTCACATTATGGGACGATGGCTACTTTTCCGAGGTCCGCTTGATTTAATTCATATTAAAACTCTGCGAAAATATATGTCCTTTCCGACGAGCAAATGCGTCCGTTTTGCCTTCAAGTTCCTATTCGTATTGTATTAGCTAATGCATGAAGTTGAGCGTAATTAAGGCCAGCATTCGTGTAAATTATTTTACCGAAGTTTTATTTTTCTATTTCAGGTTCTTTCATTACACCAACAAGACAAAACGGCGCTCCTATATGATGTGAACCAAGATGGCGGACACTGGAAGTATGTGTACCAGCTCATGGTTAGGTCATAATTTTATTCCAATTATTCATTCTTTTAGTTCTATTATGAGTTCCGAAACTAGCCAAGCGACACATACTACGTTCCGGTGTCCGCTATCTTGATTTAACAAAATACTTTGGTCGCATGTGATGTTTCCTCGAGCATCGATTTTCTTGTTTATTCTCGTTACAAAGACCAATCAGCAATAAGTCAACAATAATATATTAATTGCAATTTGTGCAACTGCTCAGAGAAGTCTTTCTCCCGGACACCAATTGAAGCGTGATGTAAACATTGCCTTGGAGCATTAGTTCAACAAAAATAAAAACAATCTCCAATACTCTGGGAGATGCCACGCTAAAATTAATTATCAGGTGCTGTAGCCTAAGTTGCTCATGGTTAAATATTTTTTATAGAATTGATGATTTTGAACATGTAGTAGAGTAGGAGATCGTGTATAGAGCGCCAACTCTGCAAAACACTCTCATATGAAACATAAGGAATTAGCAGTGAAGTGAGGATTTTTCTGGGGTCAAGTCCTGATTCAATTCGACTTGCCCAAACGATTTTGAAAGCTCAGTATTTATATTTAATTGAAGAAAGAGAAAATAAGGTGCTGTCCTGACTTCTAAGACAATTTGTTGGTCTAAAAGCAATAAAAAATAATTGGCCCAGAAATGACCTGACACAACATCTGATATTGAACCTGTTAAAAGTATAGCAACATCTAAGAGCCGTCGTCAATTGTGGAATTTATTTTTTTGAGAATGAAATTGTTATTGTCTTTATCCTATTGATGAAAACAAGAAGAAAAAAAAACGACTTAGATTAACAATATGAACGAATATTGAAAACAAGAACAAATTTAAAATGCAAATCTTGAAAGAAAAATAAGGACGGTATACAAATTGAAAACAGAACGCAGCTATTAAAGCTGGCAAAGTCGTTAAGGCTGGGCTACCGGTAGTCTATGACTATGTGACAAATTACATATCCGACTTCGTTTTGGCCTACTTGTCCATATATTTGAACAACGCTCTTTTGTTTTATAGATTCTTCTGAATAATAATCGGGATTGAATTTGCAGCTTCCATGAAGTAGGAATCAAAATTGTCGAAATTTTCAATTGATATTTAAAAGTCTTGCAACTTCTTTGGTTTTCTTCGATTAAATTATTCCCGCGTCAAATCGAGTCAGGAGGTCACAGCTCTATCACGCATAAAATTGAAAAAATAATTAAAAAAAAAAATAAAAAGAATGAAGATTAAAGTAAAATAAAAAAATAGTGATGAAAAACATAAAAAAAACGGTACCTCCTGACCAAAGGTGTTATAGTCGCGTTGCGCCTGACCGTATCGGTGAAACGAATGGGAGATACGGATAGTCTAGTAGAATATAGACTACTGAAACACTCTCTGCGCCTGCCCCATAACAGCCATAACATACCGGTACCGATCCAGACGAATGACCCATCCCTCGATTCACTATCCGTACCCATGACCCATCACTCGATTCACAACTGTCCTAGCAGTTAGGCAGCATTCTCCAATTCAATTACCTTCTACACGTAAATACAAATTTCCGAATTTTCGTGTCCAATTCTATATTCTCTTATTATTATTATAAATATTATAAATATATTACTTGTAGTTGAACTTGTAGCATGGAAAGTTTATTGAACATTTTCATATTAAATTTATTGAACATTGCTCAAGGAAATCTGATGTGAGTTAGAGCCCCAGGGAACACATTTGTGCGCGTGGGATTATTCATGACAACGTTGATTCTAAGCAGCTGCAAATTTTCTCAAAATATTTTATTTATACAAAATCTACAAATTACTGCAAAATTTGCCTGAATTGCTGGACTGATGAATTACATTGTGAAAGCAAATATTGATTCGTTCAGTTGCTTGCGTTTAAATTTAACAGCCATTATGACTATAATTAAATAAAATCATCCCTTGTGTGCATGTCGAAAAGCTGAAAGTCCATTCTATTTACATTTAAAAAATCGTTTGATTTAACTATGAAATGAAAGTAAATTTTAATTTCTAAGAGAGTGATCAGAGAACCAGAGCTCAATGTTCAGACGAATTAGGCCCATTTTCATATTCAGAAGATAATATAACTGCTACTCGTCAACAAGCAGTGTTAGAGGACGAGCGACGAGGAGCAAGCAAGTTGCTGGATAATTAATCACATAAAACTTTTTTGTGATGTGAATGTGAAGATAATTCACTAGCGAACAACATAAAATCCAAATAGCATAGTCTGGAATTCCAGCGGCAGAAGTTAGAGCAGGGTCGTCTAACCCGTGGCCCGCGGGCCGCACGTGGCCCATCGAAGGTTTTCGAGTGACCCGCGCAGTAATATTCGAAGCTCGATGTCTTTCACAAATCTGAGCACATATTGAGATATCCAATAAAAAAGTTATTCCTCGTCGTTCAAACGTGCGAGAAGCACCATCCGTCTATCAAATGCTTTTTAATTAAAACATTAGAATTAATTATGATGCATCGCAGGCTATTGTTACATCGAGAATCGCATTCACTTGATTTTTGTATTGCTTTAAACATTGTGTCCGTTTAACTTGTGTAGTAATTTATTTGTTATTGTTGACGCCGTAATTCCCTTAATTGACAGTGTGCTTCTACACACTTTATTACGAAACAATTGAGAGAGTCTTCGTGAGCAATTACTTGTCCAGACACATCTCGCTTAGTCTCGGGGTTCTTTGCTTTCAGATAACACTTTACTTCTGTAGATAATGGCGCTCGTTGTGTTTTAAATGGGTTGAAATTGGTATGGCGACTTTGACTTCCTGTTTTAACATTAGAAAGATTAGCTTAGGGCTGTTCCACATAGGCCTAGTTTAAGGATACTTTTATGACCATTAGATTGCCTTTGTGATTGTTTTCACAGGTATAGTTTATTTAATTGATTCGATGTGATTTTAAACTTGTTAAACTTGTTATAAGTCTGAAATAGCAGACAACTTCGGTATGTTTTAATATGTAATTCTTTCTGACTTGAAGGCTGCAAGTTATTTAAAAGTAATTTGGTTTGGCTTGCTAATTAACTAAGGTATGTTTAATATAGTATATATTGTTTAGATATAATGTCAATGACATAAAGAATGATTCCTAGGTGGGTGTGGAGTATAAAATGTAGAGCAATTTTTTCTAAGTGGATTTTAAGGCGCTGCGTCAGTATTCGTACCAAGATGACGCACATCCTGAACCCCGACCTGGTACACGTACAATATTCAGGTAGTGCGCCATCTTAGTACGAATACTTTGTGAGCACTTTTTGTTAATATAAACAATTATACAATGTCAGAAATTCAGTTTTAGTACAAGAAATGTTAGTTTATTCTACTAATACAAGCCAAGATCCATCGACAGCATCTAGCCACTTTCTTTTGCACTCTACATTCCAAGTCAAGTCAAATTTATTTTTCCAACCAGTAACAGAAAAATATCGCAATCATAAATTACGACAAAAAATAATTTGCACAGTTTCACTAAGGGAAGTCGCGGGGAACCAAACTGGTTATCGAGCAGTTACACTCAAGGTTATAATATCTAATTAATAAAGAAGTAAGAATTCTAGAGTTTTGAAACTAATATTATAAAATCTAGAACCTATTTTCGTGAATTTTTTGTTGTAGCTGAATTCGAGGGACGGCATGACAACAGAAGAGAAGCACAGTCGCCTCTTTTAGTTTATGACAGAGTCCCTTAACAGGGGACCCCGTCCTTTTTGGAGGCCACGGATCGGTTATCTGGGAGCACGAACAAACAGATTGAAATGCGAATATATAATATATAGGTATTTTTATAGAAGAGAAGAAGCAAAAGTGTTGAGTATTTGGTCGTTTGAAAAGCATTGGAATGGAACATAAACATGAATTACAGTCTCACCCAGGGATATACGAGTACTATAAAATGTAGCAATTTTCTCATTCGTGTTCTCGTGATAGCATTATCTTTCACTGCATCGTCGTTATCATCCCGCTGCATAACAATCCTTGCTGACAAATAATTGACTGTTCTCCACCGGGTGTATATTTGCGCACAAATTGTGCGCAATCAACTTGAACCACGGCCGACTGCATTAGCAGGCTTGTATTGTTAATTGCAACAATAGCCGGTATTTTGAAATAGTACTATTTATTTTACGCGTAGGTTTCAACAGTGTTTCCCTATATATAGGTCGCGACCCAAAGCTGGGTCGCCTGAAAATATTTTCGGTACGATTTTTTTCAACTAATACCTAAAAGTTACTATTTTTATTTCCTAATAAATTTTGTGCTTCCAAGATGGCGCACAACCTGAACATAGTATGAGTTCCAGGTTCAGGTTGTGCCCATTACGGAGCACAGATTTGACGAAAAACACTAATACAAATATCAAGCCGTAAAAAGAATTGCTCAAGGCTGCAAACTCCACACCCATGTAGAAATGATGGGCAATGACCCCAAGATCAATAATCACAAATAAAAAAAACATGTCTGAAAACAAGGTTGGGCCCATAAAGGCCCCTTATCTGCCGGATTAATAGTTGTGTTCATAAATTTGAGTAGGCTTTCTAAAAAGCTGAATTAGTTACGATTATTTCTTCACTGCAAGTATTTTGTGCTGATTTGTTTTTACATTTGTATTAACATAACCCTGTCAGCTGTATACTTCGAGTTGAGGATACAAACTTGGGGTTTGAAATATCGCGTTATTGAACTGTTGATAAATATCTAGTGTACAGTCGGTGTCGTCCGGGTAATAAAAAACGACTGTTACAGATAATGAAATCTTGGATTCACATTCCATACCCAAGACCACAATACCCTGGGCCGGAGGGTGGTCCAGGGTTATCAGCTTCGGGGGCCACAAAATTATTTTTGCATTGTTCGCGGGCCACAATAGTACCAAGAATAAGTAACTTTGATTGTGCAAACATATTGACAAAAAAAATCTGCAAAATTCTTTCTATATCTACATTTACTGTGGGATTCAAGTGCTTACGCAAATGTGAGTGCTTGATAAGATTCTCTAAGCAAAATTTCTTAACTTTAGATTTTATTCTTTTGTCACCGGCACAACTTGCCGACATATCAAGCAAGCATTGTGGTATTTTCCATAGTTGATCTAGACTAGAGCCTAGAATCTAGGCTAATAGATTCCGCATTCGATTTTTAGTTTTTTACGATGACTATATTGTGAGAATATATTCCCGACAAAAAGATGGAAAGCCAGCTAACATTTTAGACTAGCCAAGCATATCATTCAACTTTGCCGATTTTTGGATTACTCTCCGAATATGACGCGGGCCACAGATAATGAAGCGGCGGGTCACATGTGGCCCGCGTGCCTGGTTTTGGATCACCCTGGTCTATACCTTTATATGTCTCGTAATTTTGAATGCGATTTGCATCACGGTAAAAAAAAGAGTTTTACTTGACATTCACATCTCAGACACCGTGTAGGTATCTGTTCTACAATATAATGCTTATTATGGTGTTATAACCAAGTTATTCGCTCGTCGATTTCAAACTGAACCCTGGACGAAGCCGACCCGTAAACCCCGATTCTACGTACACTTTGTTTGCAAAATGTTTTATTTTGATCTCAAAATAGTTAAATAATTACAGCAAGAAGTACTTAAAAAAGTAACTTAAAATCAATGTTCTTGTGATGAAACAACACGAAATGCGATATTTAATTTCCACCCAGCAAATGCGACGCGGGCCACAGATGATGAAGCGGCGGGCCACATGTGGCCCGCAGGCCTGGGTTTGGACCACCCTGACCTAGGGTATGAAATGGCAATTTAAAAACCAAAAAATTCTGGTATTTCGAAAAATAGTAGTTTGTTAGATATCAATTTCTTAGGGAACGTTTTGAAAACAACTCGCAAATTAAAAAGATAAATTATAATTACTTATCCTCATTTTCAGGCATGTTTGTAATCGCTTCAATCTTCACGATGATATCTAGGAGGTATTCGAAGGATACTCGACATATTCGACGGATACTCAACTAGATTTGGACTTGTTTCTGTCGCACTCTTTGAAACAATTGCAGTTGCCTGGGTCTTCAAACTAGAAAAGTGAGTGCTCTATACTTTGTTTTCATTTTTGTATTAGACTTTGTTTAGAGCAAGACTTTACGCCAGGAGTGCGCAACCGTTATTAATACAGGAGGGGCAGATACAAATAACTGGGTGGAACTGCAGGCTGCACCATTATAACACAAACTTTCTAGAGAGTATGTCTGATACTCAATTGTTTTTATCATGATGCAAGGACGACTAGTTGCGTAGGACTTAACTAAATTGCCATTACAGATTAAAATATATCCACCACATCATTTAGGTGTAATGAATTGGATAGGCAAAGAATCCAGACCATCAAACCAAAGAAAATCCTTATGAAGCAGTGGCAGCTTGTGCAGAGCCTTGTTCAGAGCACAGAGCAATTCTCAAAACAAGTATAAACCTTTCATGTAAAAAATATTGTTTTGACAAATAACCAGTCCGCTTAATTTTTTTCAGCTTCGAAAATGACATAGAGAGAATGATTCATTCAAAACCTGGATTGTATTGGGAAATAATATGAAAATATATCTGCCCAATTATTATGGGAGTTACTCGTTATTCTGATTGTGAGCTTCGTGAACAAAGACAATGTCTCGAAAGACGAGTTAACCTATATGCCATGGGCCGCGTTTTTTATCGTATTATTGATACTAAACTTGATGTTCTGTATTCCATTATTTGCGTTTCGGAATTTTCGAACCGAAATGGATCGGTGCTATTTCTTACGGGAGAAATTAAAGAGCTGATCAGAATGATAATGATGAAATCGGAGTTATGAAATCTGCGACTCCGTTGAATTTAAATTTTTGTATTGGCGTCTTGGGACACATAACATATTTTCGAATGTAGATGACAGTTCACAAGAATATCCCACCTAGTGGATAATAAATATCGAAAATCAAAATTTGTCTGTAGAATTTAAATTTGACGGAGTCGCAAATTCCGTAACTCCGATTTCATAATTTTTATTCTGTTCAGCTCTTTTAAATCTTCCCTAAGAATTCGGGTCGAAAATTCCGATTTGAATATTCTAAAATACCCAAAACATTGACAAAACCTCGTCTAACTTGTCGACACACTCTGGTATTCAAGAACCGAATTTTTTGTTTGAGTACGGCAGTATTTTTGGTCGACTACTGACTTGTTCAATAATCAACTCGTTTGACTACCGAGGTATCACTGTACTTGCTTCAATATTGTTTTCTATGAAAGCTCTAGTATGATAAGCAAATCTGTTATTTAAAAACCAAAGTATTCCACAAAATTGATTTTTAATTGAGCGGCAGTTTGTGCGTTTACAATCTATGATAAAACGCTGTCGAAACCACACCGCTTTCAACAGATTCAACACTTCGGATTTATATATTGTTTCCGTACATTGAAATTTATTTTTTCATCTTTTATTGTATAATTTATTTCGTATACATGTTGTTTTGCCCTGTTTGAATTTGGTATTCATTCTTCTGTGCCTGCTTTCTATCGCTTTTTCTTATTTCATGTATTGTTTGTCTTAATTAGAATAATTTTTTCTGTGATTGGAATAATATTTTCATGCTAGATTTTACTGCTCCAGAAGTCGTTAATATTTGAATCTGTTTCGAATCATACAAAGCTTGAAAATCTAGAATTTATTGTAATCAGAAAATTGTACCTTTGCTTCAAGTGAATGTAGGCGCGACTTCGACTAAAAGATTTCGATTTTTTTAGGGATATCAGATTGCAAAATTATGTAGAGCTGATCTATGATTATCCGGGTACTTTTTACTTTGGACTCCCTGAGTGAAAGCTTTTGATTTTAATAACAAAAAATACAAATTTAAGTCTATAATTCAAAATCCACTCTATGAGAGTTCATTAAAACAATCTAAGTCCTACTATTTCAGTCGAGATCAAAATTTATGAGTCTTTTATTATCAAGTTTTAAATTCACCCTTTTAATGAAAATTCTCACCCAAACAAGTATCAATATAAAGTTTTTTGTAAAACCCTATAAACAGCGTCCTCCAATATACAGAATTTCTTATTCCAACCAGGGTTACTTGTTTTATTATCAATTTCTATTGAAGCTCTCTTTTCTGTTTCACATTGAAATGTATAGTCTGTTTTTTATCACAATCCCTAAACCTCAATCTAAAGAAGTGGTTTCAAATTTTCCAAGCCCCGTTTTTAGAATTTGTCAAGTCTCTTGCCCCACAGCAAAAATAACTAGCTAACAATAAGCTACAGATAACAGATTGTAAGGCGAAAGTATGTTTTATTCGAAAAAAAAACGCGTTCAAAATACAAGGATAGAATGTAAATATCCTTGTCGTTTGAGAACCGCTGATCTGAAGTCAGCCGCTGGAAAAGCCTTTATTAATCGAACCGATTAGAGCCCAATACACAAAACCTTACATTTAAATTACCCTTAGAACTATCGATTCTTTGAATATCTTGGTTGTTGAGTAAATACTGACTGTCTTGCTTAACGCTATTAGCAGCTATGCTGCATTAAATTGCTTCTGATGATAAGTTCCGCCCTAATGAATCACCCATATACACAATTTTATTTATAATCATATTCTGGTGCTCCCGAAGTATGCGAACCAAGATGGCGGACATCGGAACGTAACATGGGTAACAGGTTAGGGTTAGGCGATATTTTTTTTTCCAATTTTCCTTATTTTCGTCCTAATATCAGTTCGAAGACTAGCCAAGAGCCTCCCGTAGTATTTATACCTAAAATTATGGCCTAACCCTAACCTAGTACACATATTACATTCCGATGTCCGCCATCTTGGTTCGCATACTTCGGGAGCCCCCATATTCTATATATGCTTATATATATATTGAATTTACCTTTTTGCGTCACAATTTTACTAAATATTTGCAATCTTCTAATACGGCCTGTCACCTCACCCTGTAAGGTAGCAAAATTTCCTATGTGGTCCTTTGAGTAAGCCCTATGCTGGTGTGACGACTTGCCCAATGTCCTCTTAAGAGCATAGGTGAGACCCATCAGATCTGCTCATTCAGAGACTTCTTCAGAGCCTAGTTCAAACCAAGATAGGGAATCCACGCCCAAATTTGGGTTTTATTTTGCTTTTGTATCTACTTGTCCAAAGCATGCTCAGAAAACCTGTTTAGCAATAAGATTAGTGGCTGGCTTTATTTGAAGCAAAAGTTTAGCTCAACCGAAAACTTCATTACCTCCAAATTCTGATTTTTTATTTTCGATATAGTTCACAGCCTTGTTCGAGCCTAGCAAGTGACCCATGCCCAAACCTGTGTTATTTTATGCTGTGCTATCTACTTTTCGACCCCCCTTCCTCCCTTTTTTAAATGTAAAAAAAATAAAAGGATCTTTCTGTATCATGCATAATTTTTCGTAGCTTGAAACGATTTTTAAAACCTCAAGAGTGGTGAAGACCCATGTTCTCCGGCCTTCGGTCGAAACTGCTCTTCGTTTCGGTATAACTCGACAAAAATAAATTTCAGAACCCTCGCGTTAACAAATTTTTGGTCCCTTATTCTATATGCCCAGTTTCTGTTTTCCTCTTGTTTAGAGAGCGAGCACGAATTAAGTTCCCGTCCAATTATGGCCTATCAATTGAACTCATTTCAATTTGAAGCAACGTTACCCTGTTTTCAACTTTAATACTTGAAATTTCAAGTTCCCTAAAGTGCAAAAATATATTATTTATTTGTGGAGAAAATTCGGCGAAATATTAGAATTTTATCTATTTTGTGTGCCTTGTATTTTATTAGATTTGAAAAATGTACTTCGAACTGCTTGTTTGTAAAAGAATCTGTAAATAAATTGAAAAAAAGCGATTTTTAAGTGTTTTTCGTAATAATATGACGTCACTCTAACGCCAGTTCCACAGGATTACTACTCCTAACGTTTTACACTGATATTATCACGTTTAAAACCTCCATATACCCCAATGTAAGGCCCGGGAGCGAAATAGGATCATTCTATGGGAGAGGAAAGGGTTGAGACGACTTGTTATGTTGGAAAATCATTTAAATCAGTGATTATAAATTATTTTACAATTAGTAGGCTTGAGGTTTATACTACCAAGTCCGCCCGCCTTTAGACCAGAACAGGAAGGAGTAACTTAGAGACACGTAGCCGAGTTAGGATATTTTATATTTTTATCAATATCTAACAGCCAATTATAACGCGTATTTCAGGTCACGTGATCGACACAGAACTCCATCTGTCATGTTCCAGCCATGCGCAGACGAACACCTTAACAGGAAGTTGAACTTCCTTACCGGAAGTTCCTAATTGACATGCGCACGAAAATATTAAACTCCCATTGGCTGATTCAAAATTTCTATACCTGCGCAGTAGATTACCGGCCATCTACTTGTCATGCGCGAGATTTTCGAAAAATGACGGTTGCCAGATTTCAGAATTTTGTTTTTGAACGGTCTGATCCAGAATCGGACCATTTAAAAACGAAATTCTGAAATCTGGCAACAGGTATTTTTCGAAAAATCTCGCGCATGGCAAGTAGATGACCGGTAATCTACTGCGCAGGTTGAGAAATTTTAAATCAGCCAATGGGCGTTTAGTATTTTCGTGCGCATGGCAATTAGGAACTTCCGGTAAGGAAGTTCAACTTCCTGTTAAAGTGTCCGACCATTTAGAAAATGAAATTCTGAAATCTGGCGACCGTCAAAAACAGTGAATTTTTGCGCATGGCAGGTGCATGTCCGTTTTGGTTGTGCGCAGGTCACGTGACTTTGGAATTTTCTGATTGGTCAAATTTTATCCAATCAAAATATTCCTTTATTGTATCAGGGTTAAAAAAAACGCCCTTGCTATTTACTATAAGGGCAAGGAAAGAAGTACGTTTGATGGAACCCTCAGCTAAGTTACTTGAGCTACATTTCTCCTGAGATCATTACACTTCGATTACTGACTATTAGGCTCATTAAGTTACCCCAACTTGCTTTTGCATTAGACGTCACTGTGACGCTGAAGATAAGTTCGATTTCCATTCATACAACCTCATCCAGAATGACTAAATAGAGGTAAATCTGTAAATAGAGGCTCCTTTATGTATGTATTAGCTTTGCTCAAGAGTGAAAACCTAGCAAACACTGCTATCATGAATCACAAAGACCATTTCTACTTATCGATCTTGATCGGTAAGTATGTTGATAAGTATTTGTCTGTTAGATGCACGCAATATCTCACGAAAGCGAGGTTGAATCTGCTCCAAATTTGACATGTGCGTTCATCATATCTCGGACAGAAGCCTATTGATTTTGGATGAATTATGTCGTATAATTAGCGAGTTATTAATTAATGGTGTCACTATGGAGTAATAGCGCTGTTTTGTGGGATCCCCTAACTTTCGATCGATATTTTCGTTTGTATATCAGAGTGAAAACTCTTAATTACGGGGAATTATAAGACAATGCCATAAATTATGGGTTCTCAAAATGTTCCATAAGGGGAACAAAGGCTTTGTGAGAGATACCCAAAGGCTCAAATACGAAGCAGTAAATACATTAAATAAAGTAATTTTCTAGTTTACTCAGGGACATTAATCGGCATATGATGTGTTTTTATTTTTTAAATTTATTGCGGGGCTTTGTAACACCAAAAGTTTGAGAACTCAATGGAATGAAGCACACAAAGCAGTAATATTTTGCATATGATGAATTTATTGCAATAAATATTCACACAATAAAAAAGCATAATGATATACTGTTATAAAATTTCAAAGTGGAAAATAGTATACTGTCTGAAAATTAGGCTGTAAATGGGGCCAATTTACAATCAACTCTGACTCCGGAGATAAAAAATAGACTTCCAACTGTGGGCTGCAAAAAAATCGTGGTTTTGATGATAAAGAGTTAGAGCTTAGGGGGAGAAGAGGTTTTAAAAGGGGCCAATTTACAACAGACTGTTGACTCCATATTACAAAAATGGTCCCCCAGCTTTAGACTGCGAGAAATTTGACCTAAAATTCAAGAAAATCCCGATTTTGAAAGCTCTAGGATACGCAAAGAATTTGGATGCAATAACTTTGGATTCTTTTACGTTTTTCCCAGACAGTACAAACTTGGGATTTTCGAGTTTCAAGTGAGAAAAAGGTATTTCTATATCAGTGGTTCTTGAACAGCGGGGTGTAAATAAAACGATAAAATGGAATGAAAGTTGAAATAAAAATATTCGTTAGATTCTATCTTGCCCGCCTTTTTGGATATTTGAATTTATTTATTTTGGATATTTACGGCCCATGTATTTTCAATAAATTTTCAATTTTTTTATAATATTGTGTTGAGATATATTTAATTAGGTAAAAATATTTGAACAATTACTGATTAAAAAACAACAAACCTGGTTAAGATAAATCGAGAACTGACTTCATAACCATATTGGAATTGTGAAGGGACTTTATAGATTACATATGACAACAAAAAATCAATACAATTTGGCCTTTGGCTTCGCTACATATCAGAGAAGTATCAGAAACTCACTCACAGCAAAGGCACAGTTCAATATTAAACAATAATTCAACATTAATATACCAGTATGAATCTGAGTAAAAATTTAATAATTATGATTAAAAATGGTAAAAATAGATTAAAACTTTAGGCTTTAGCATAGACTTGACTTTATTTATCACGTACACAAAAATAAACTTATTATTTATCCCATACAAAAAGTACAGGGCTGAATCAAACTTATCGGGCATTCCCAGATGAAATACATTTGTGTGAGTACAATTTGAAGATTATAATTAAAACGATAAATTGGAATGAAAGTTTAATACCTCAGCATGAAGTTGACGTTTCATCCCATAAAAACAACACAGGGCTAAATTAAACTTATCATTTATGCCATACAAACAGTACAGGGCTGAAATCAAACCTAGCAGGCATTCCAAGATGGGACAAATTTGCATACGATAGTTTTTAAAACTCAAAAACTGGTTGTTGATCGCGGATTGGGCCAGATTCCGCCATCATGACAATAACATTTTATAAGGAATACAAAGTTGCTTTACGTCCATAGCAGCATGGTCTTGTTGTTTTAGTAATCCAAACAGAAACAAAGCATCTGCTGGATTTAACTCACAATGTGCTGCGATTTAATTTTTAGCGCTGTAGGGCGGAGTATAATTACATCTCGATATCGGATCATTTTTGAAATCAATGTATCTCATTAATTTAATCAGGCTATCCATGTCGACAACTTTTTTGTTGTTGCGAGCGAATACTTTTGCTCAAGGATTTTTGTCGTGTGTGAACCAGTTGCCATATTTAGCTACCATCGCTGATTGACCAGAACCGTCGAATAATTTCGGTAAGTGCCCAGTAAGTTTGAACAAAAAGAAGAGACATCATCGTAGACTGTTTCACCGAGCAGTCTTTCTAGGAGTTGTAAACTCATCATAGTCCACAATCATACATTGGTTTGGTTATTGTATGTTCCACTGTAAGCGAGACTTAGAGTTAAGATCTAAAGCCCGAGCCTGACCCGAAATTCGGGCCGGGTCGGGCCTAAAATGTCAATCATTATGTTCGAGTCAGGCTTTTTTATAAACGAGGCGTTTTGGCCACGAGAGAATGTGGTCTGCATAAAAATAGTAGTTGCCTCATCAACATGACACACACTGTACTAAACTCTTGCAATGACAATTCAAAGAACTCCTTAATAAGATATGAAATTTCGGGTTTGATTTGGGCTCTGGTCTGCAAATCCAGTTAATTAGTCGGGCCCGGGTCGGGTTTAATACCCACAGGCTCGGTTGGGCTGGAATTTTTGGGCCCGATCTTACCTCTAGCGAGACGGTTCGCTGTGATGGTTCTCAGCCACTAGGGGACAGTTTCTGGCTTGATGAATTTCCACTAATCAGAGTTACAGTTGCCATTCGTAGTGTCCATGGTTACCAACCTTGTAGCAAGTACGTAGAAATCATCTCCGGGAAATACAGTCTCATAGTAACCAGAAAAAGACTCCGAGTGAGAACCAAAATTAAATCATTTCATGATACGAAGCATGCTTTCGAATGACGACCTAGCATCACAGCAGAAATAAACCAGTTTTGTCAGTGACTATTTTGAGGAGAGCAGAGCAATGCCCATACACAAATGCTTGGCGTTTCAATGGCTCTCCAACTTCCAGATCTTCTAAATTCCCTCAAAGTTGGAAAAGATAGAAACCAAAAGGTTCGAATTGTAGGGTTGTAAATCGCAAGATTATTACATCCATCTTTCAATCCTTGGACTTGCAGAAGGCCTTTGTCAACTTCATTTTTACACACGACTTGCTCAAGAGAGTCGAGTCGCAGTAACCATTTAAAGTGTTGTTCCACGTTTGCTCGATTCTCTCAGATGTTATATATTCTTCAGCATATACTGCTCTATAGGCTTGCAAATTTTGGTGCATGTCTGAAATATTGTAAAAATGAATGTTATTAATAAAAGATACGGTAACAAAAAAAAATCAGCCGTTTTCAAACTTTTCGGTAGAGTGGACCCTAATGAGACATTTCAGAGGCTAGAGCAGACATGGGCTAAGTACGGCCCTTGTGCCAAATCCAGCCTGTTGGGTGACTCAATCTGGCCCGCTGGATGGTACCACAACCAAACTAAGACTTAACTTCGATATTTAAGGTAAAAATATCTCAATGGATTTGTTAAGATTCCGATTACATTTAATTTTGGCACGTGGCTTATTGTTTTCCACCTTTGCTTTGTAACACTGTTAATATTGTTCATAAAATGTAACTTTTCACGTCACACTTATATGGCCCACCAGTCTCGGTGGGCAAAATTTGTGGTTATGCTTACATACGTCAGAGATCCACTTCGCAGAGCGATTGTTAAACTGGTGAGTTGTCTGCCCCTCGTTGCTCTGTAGTCGAGTTGTCTTCTCCTCAAGCATCGATGACGTCACAGAGCGATTGCTCGACTGGTGAGTTGACTGTCTGTCGAGAGACTGCTCAGTAGGCGAGTTTGACCATAGACTACTGAGCTCACATTCATGAATATCTAATTGTTACTGTGAAGTATAAAGGTTTTAATATATTTAAAGGTGCTCATTCAATACATTGGAAACCAATAAAGTTCAAAAATTTAAACACACTCAGTTCTATAAGTCAACAGTCTAACTTCGCTAACGTTACTCCAATTTCGTCGGTAGACTGTATTTGGGGTCTAGTATAGTTTAGTACCACAAGTACTTCCGGTGGGCGTAGCATAACGAATTTTGCATATGCTATTCCTAACCCCCACCTGACTATGCCATCCAAAAATTACGTCACTACGACGTCACAATCACGTCATAGGGATTGCCAAAGTATAATTACGATCGCCCGAAATGACATCTGCGCCGCCGATAACGAACTTGCTGAAGCCGGCGATCTCTCTCCTATAGTGATCGTTGTGACGAGAAAACGAGAGAAATTGCTTGCTCGATTTCGGGTGATTGTCTGCGCGTTTTGGACGACCATCCGCATACGTCGGTGGGCCTTATTACGCCACTGTGACGTCGTAATGACGTAATTTTTCGGTGACGTAGTCAGGTGGGGGTTAGGATTGATAGGGTGGCTTACCCACTTTGCGGCCATGACCTATCTGCGACCATCAACTTCATCGATTAAATTAATGCCAAAAAAATTAACGAACCGCAACGATATTTCTCACGCGGTATCGTCCTCTTATCCCTCGTAGCTCTGCGAAATTACACTAAAATGCGGCCACAAATAAAAAAGTTACGACCGAAAACCTGACCGAAGAAAAAAACAGACCATTTTACCATGTCGCCAACTACCCATTGTTCCTTCAAAAAAGCTTGAAAATCCATACAAATATAAGAGAAAAAAAGAGATGAAACTTGGCAGGTGGGTAGAGTTGTGTTTCTTTTAAACCTCTTTAAAGTTTCGCATTACTACCTTCAAAGGAGGGGGAGTAGGGGGTGCGCATTTTCAATCCGTCAATAATATCTTTGTCAACTAATTTGCGACCACCGTGTTTTTGTCTGTTTGATTGCTGTGATGCGGTGCTTTGTTTATAATTTGAAGAATTTTGTTTGAAATAACCGTGTTCTTAAAATATATGACGGTCAGAAATGCAATTAGAAGTGTTCTTAAAATATATGACGGTCAGAAATGCAATTAGAAGCCCATTTTTTCCCGCAAGGCTGCGTATGCCCTAGTCTCGACGCAGCAGAAACGATGTTCAAGGCTTGAAATCTGTGATCGCACACTGGTCGTTCGGTCGCAAATACGTCTTCAGAGTGTCGTACTTTGGTGGTTTGTATAGCTTTAACCCTTGTTCGTAGAAAGTTAGTTCGAAGTTCAGCGTGTAGAATAAATGCCAATGCACCCACGGTGAAAAAATTAACGGGTTAGAAATATTGGTTTTTGTTTTATAGCGGTTTGAATGAAATCGTCCGCAGACTTGCTACACCACCCTATATACAAAAATTGTTGAGCCAGGTCAACTAGAAGTACATGTGGTACTAAACTATACCAGACCCTGTATTTGTATTCATGAAACATGAGCAAAATAAGCCACTTACCGGTATACAAATAAAAATGTTTTCTAGACATTATTCATGTATTTTTCTCAACATTTCTATGGACCTAAAACACCACCGTAGCAAATGCGAAAAGACGGACAACTCACCAGGCCTCTCTGTAGTCGAGTTGTCCTGTTGTCTCTGGACCATGGTGAGTTGTCCGTCAGCCAAACGAACACGGCTTATTAGAAAATTGGTGCAATACCAGGGGTCTCATGTGGTTTCGTACCTAACGTACTTCTAGTGCAGTAGTGGGTGTAGCATAACAATTTTTTCACATGTCAATCCTAACCCTCGCCTGACTACCCCATCCAAAAATTAGGTCACTACGACGTCACAGTGACGTAATAGAGCCCTTCAAACTATACGAATTGTCATCCAAGACGCGCAGACGAGCACCCGAAATCGAACAGCTATTTCTCTCGTTTTCGTGTCGCGCCGATCCCGATATGAGAGAGATCGATGACGTTTATCGTTGGCGTCGATACCATTTCGGGCGAACGTTCGTATATTTGATAGATAGATAGATAGATAGTTTATTTCGAAAACTCCATAACAAACCTAAATTTAAAATGGAGAATTCTGGAGGGCAAGCAAAACCTACAAAAAAGTTTAAAACATGAAGTATCTCATGTGCCTGCCCACCAGCACGCACACAAAAACACAAGCCCAATTAAATGAGGCTTGGGCCAAACTTAAAAAAACAAAATACACGATAGTAATAAACTTTCGGGCTGTTATACTCTCTTTCAACAATTACGTTGATAATGACCAATACCTACAACCTCATGCAAAGATAATGTGGGTAGTGGAATGTAATAAATTTGCGACGATAGTCATACTCATGAAGCCATGAAAGCTTTAAGAAAAACCAAGCCATGAAAAACTACACTGATTGCTAGATTGGGCATTGCGGAAAAGGTGATAAGTGGTTTAATATACAAACAAACGCAAAACCATGGCGGCAAATTCGGTGTGCGGACACTCATAAAAGCAATTATTAGGAAAAACACTAATCACACGTGAGCAGGTCTGTAGCCTAATTGATACATTGACGTGGCTAACATTGTTAAAACAGTACCGGTATACACACAGAGAGAACAAATCAAAAATATGCCATTAAATGAATGTTTAAAAATGTTACACTGTAAGTTACACTGCAAACTATTTACACATACAGTTGAATACTCAGTATTCAAGCGGAATTTCTAGAAATAGCAGTATATCATACTCTTTGTCACAAAATAAAATATCTGAATCAATCCCTGTTGTATTCATCTTTCGATTCTGTTATGATATTTGGCAAGCTCTATGACGTGTTGCGGTGTCGTAGTGACGTAATTTTTGGATGGCGTAGTCAGGTGGGGGTTAGGATTGACATATCAAAAAATTGTTATGCTAAACCCACTAGAAGTACGGTACGTTAGGTACAAAACAAAACTACACGAGACCCCAAGTGTTTTGTCTGCAAAATTGGTCAATGTTACTTGTAAAATGTTGCCGGGATTTTGTCCTTCCAGATATGGCAACCCTAATCTATCCCTAAAGCTATTACGATAGTTAATTAATTTACTATATCAGTATATAGTACCGGTACCGTAAAAGCTACCACTGTGAAGCTAGTAGCAAACCTTCTTCTAATTTTGCGCAGCGGTGCGTATAATCTCGTTTTTGTGCTCATTGAAGGGTGATATGACAGTTTTGTGCTTATTGAAGGGTGATGGCGTAAAACATGGGCGAGTCCTAAATTCCACACAGAGAACAATGATTAAGTTTGTAGACAGGCTGTGGAAGAAATACATCACGATAAGCAGTAAATTCAAATATATTTGACGGCAACTTAGGATACAGAGTGGAGAGCATCCCGGCGGTTTGATCGCCTATGCAGTTTCATTTGTCATAGTACGTTGTCGAAATTAAATATACTCGGCTGATAAAATTGATCAGGACAAATATTTTGACAAAAAATGTTAGATTACGTATTCATATGAGCTTGAAAATATAACGAAACGAGTGTTCCATGTCACCTGCATAGGTTTCGGTAATAACTGCTAATCAAAAGCTAAGTTATGTTCAATTTATGTGACATTTTTTGGAAATACTTCTCATGCCTGCAAACATTTATACAGAAGTGCAAGATGGTACGCGAACTAAGAGAAATAAGCAATATCAACCGAGCCATTGAGTTGAGGTCCAAATCGTCTGACCAACTCGATTTACATTATAATAAAATTTACATTACCGATAAAAATTTATATGGTGCCCATTCCGTGATGCTTTATGCGCGCTGCTTATTTTGCTAAAGTGTTAATTCAACCAAGAGCCCCGAGCATTTTTGTATAACTTTAAAAATATTTCAAAACCAGCCTACTAAATTACAACATTTCGTAGCCGTAAAAGTGCTTTACTTCGTTTCAAACTGTGTATTGTATTACGTAACAAACGTTAAACTTCATTATAATATGTCTTAGTAATTTAAGAAGTTTCAAATGCATTTTGTAGTATAAAGCAAATTCTTCAACACATGCAATAAACAGAACGTAAAAATTGTTTTGTTTCAATATGTCTCACTGGCGCTGAAATCAGAAGTCAGGTTATTATATGTCGTACATTATCGTTATATCGTAATTTGGATATTTTGAAAATCAGCATAACGTCTCTTCTATATTGGTGGCGCGAAATATTAATTTTTTATTCAAGAGATGACAAATTTCCAGAATTATGTGCAATCGTGTCATTATTACACGATAATTTTATAAAAATGGTACAAACAAAATTATGCAATTTACAAAAGTCAAAAAGCTAATTTTTGGCAACTTTCAAATCCCTGCAGCACACTCTCCGCACAAGAGGCATTCGATTTGATTATTTTATGTTAAAGAAGTTTATCTGAAGTTTGCCACACAACTAGAACCTAAGCCTTTTTTATTTTAGAATCTGGGGTATTCTCATAGCGAAAATGGCCTTATTTGGGAAAATTACGTATAGCGAAAAAAGCTAATTTAGTCAAATTTCAAAGCCTAGCAGCACACCCTTCCACACAAGAGGCATTCGATTTGATTCTTTTATGTTAAAGAAGTTTACCTGAAGTTTGCCACACAACTAGAAGCTAAGCCTTTTTTATTTTAGAATCTACGTTATTCTTATGGCGAAAATGGCCTTATTTTGAAAAATTACGTATAGCGAAAAAAGCTAATTTAGTCAATATTCAAAGCCTAGCATCACACCCTTCCGCACAAGACGCATTCGATTTGATTATTTCATGTTAAAGAGGTTAACCTGAAGTTTCCCACACAACTAGAACCTAAGCTTTTTTTATTTTAGAATCTGGGGTATTCTCGTAGCGAAAATGGCCTTATTTGGAAAAATTACGTATAGCGAAAAAAGCTAATTTAGTCAATTTTCAAAGCCTAGCAGCACACCCTTCCGCACAAGAGGCATTCGATTTGATTATTTCACGTTAAAGAGGTTTACCTGAAGTTTTTCCTACAACTAGAACCTAAGCCTTTTTTATTTCATAATCTACGTTATTCTTATGGCGAAAATGGCCTTAATTGGAAAAACTACGTATAGCGAAAAAAGAAAATTTAGTCATTTTCAAAGCCTAGCAGCACACCTTCATCCGCACAAGAGGCATTCGATTTGATTCTTTATGTTAAGAAATTTTACCTGATGTTTGCCACACAACTAGAACCTAAGCCTTTTTTATTTTAGAATCTGGGTATTCTCATAGCGAAAATGACCTTATTTTGAAAAATTACGTTAGCGAAAAAAAGCTATTTAGTCATTTCCAAAGGCCTAGCAGCACACCCTTCCGCACAAGACGCATTCAATTTGATTATTTCATCGTTAAAGAGGTTTACCTGAAGTTTTTCCTACCAACTAGAACGCTAAGCCTTTTTTATTTAGAATCTACGTTATTCTTATGGCGAAAATGGCCTTATTTTGAAAAATTACGTATAGCGAAATAAGCTATTTAGTCAATTTTCAAAGCCTAGCAGCACACCCTTCCGCACAAGAGGCATTCGATTTGATTATTTCACGTTAAAGAGGTTCACCTGAAGTTTTTCCTACAACTAGAACCTAAGCCTTTTTTATTTTAGAATCTACGTTATTCTTATGGCGAAAATGGCCTTATTTGAAAAATTACGTATAGCGAAAAAAGCTAATTTAGTCAATTTCCAAAGCCTAGCAGCACACCCTTCCGCACAAGACGCATTCGATTTGAATATTTCATGTTAAAGAGGTTTACCTGAAGTTTGCAACACAACTAGAAACTAAGCCTTTTTTATTTTAGAATCTGCGGTATTCTCATGGCGAAAATGGCCTTATTTTTGGAAAAATTACGTATAGCGAAATAAGCTTAATTTAGTCAATTTTCAAAGCCTAGCAGCACATCCTTCCGCACAAGAGGCATTCGATTTGATTATTTCACGTTAAAGAGGTTTACCTGAAGTTTTTCCTACAACTAGAACCTAAGCCTTTTTTATTTTAGAATCTACGTTATTCTTATGGCGAAAATGGCCTTATTTTGAAAAATTACGTATAGCGAAAAAGCTAATTTAGTCAATTTTCAAAGCCTAGCAGCACACCCTTCCGCACAAGACGCATTCGATTTGATTATTTCACGTTTAAGAGGTTTACCTGAAGTTTTTCCTACAACTAGAACCTAAGCCTTTTTTATTTTAGAATCTACGTTATTCTTATGGCGAAAATGGCCTTATTTTGAAAAATTACGTATAGCGAAATAAGCTTATTTAGTCAATTTTCAAAGCCTAGCAGCACACCCTTCCGCACAAGAGGCATTCGATTTGATTATTTCACGTTAAAGAGTTTACCTGAAGTTTTCCTACCAACTAGAACCTAAGCCTTTTTTATTTTAGAATCTACGTTATTCTTATGGCGAAAATGGCCTTATTTGGAAAAATTACGTATAGCGAAAAAGCTATTTAGTCAATTTCAAAGCCTAGCAGCACACCCTTCCGCACAAGAGGCATTCGATTTGATTATTTCATGTTAAAGAGGTTTACCTGAAGTTTTCCACAACTAGAACCTAAGCCTTTTTTATTTTAGAATCTGGGGTATTCTCATAGCGAAAATGGCCTTATTTGGAAAAATTACATATAGCGAAATAAGCTTATTTAGTCAATTTTCAAAGCCTAGCAGCACATCCTTCCGCACAAGAGGCATTCGATTTGATTATTTCACGTTAAAGAGGTTTACCTGAAGTTTTTCCTACAACTAGAACCTAAGCCTTTTTTATTTTAGAATCTACGTTATTCTTATGGCGAAAATG